GGGGGGGGGGGGGGGGGGGGGGGGGGGGGGGGGGGGTGTGCGCGCGCGCGCGCACACATACATACATACATATATCCAGCAGTGGGTTCCTGGATTTCAAAAAATTAAATCTAACCACTGCCTGAGACCATCCGTTCTTGGGACAACCAATGGCACAGATGTGGAGGTCCTACGTTCTTTGATAAGGTAACTAGTTAGGTGACTGAAGGGAATGCAGTGGGCATAATATACCTGGACTTTAGCAGGTTTTTAATATGGTCCCACAAGGCATTCTCAGAAGTAAGCTGGAGAAATGTGGGCTAGATGGAATTCCTATTAGATGGACATGGATATGTCATTGGTTGAATAACAACAAGCCAACAATCATTATACATAATCTACATCAGAACAGCAGGAGGATTTGCCTGGGCTTCCCTAGGGGGTGCCTTAAAGAAATCTCCGATACCCCAGCTTTGACCCACGCCCCAAGGTGAAGCAGAGCTGAACTCACAAAGTCAGGGCTGTAGCAGATCTTTGCAAAACCCATGCGGAAATCCATCACTTGGTTCTCCACCATGTCCACTCTGATCATCTCCTCCTCTCTCTCACCACCTGGGAACCAGAAGACACACAGAGATAGAGAGAGCCCCCTTCCCCCCCCCCCGGCACTGAGCACAAAATCCTGCCTAGCAATCTGGTGCCCCCGGCAATACTCACACATGTTGTGCTTGCGGGCGATGTAGCGGAGGATGGCATTGCTCTGCGTGAGCTTGGTCTTGCCATCAATGAGATAGGGCAGCTGGGAGGGCAGAGAGAGGGTAGGTCAGGCAACGAGTTATCAGGGCAAAAGCAACACCCCAAGCCAAAACACCTTCCCCTCCCGCAGGCACACACCCTGCTACCTACTACCTACATTTGGGAAATCCAGCCCCAGGTTCTGCTTCTCGTTAGTCCACTGGCTTGTGTCATATTCAGGACCTGGAGGTATAAAGCAGGCAAATGCAACAGCATGAAGAGGTGTCCACCTCTCCCCCCACTGCATAGCCCCCAACCTTCATCAGTGCACCCCTAGCCACCAACCCCTGCTCCAGCCAGCTACCGTGCCTCTCACCACACGCTACCCTGTGCCCCACCTCATGCTCTCCCATGCCCACTGCAGCCCTTCTCCACCCCCAGCCCTTGCGTTACCCATGGATTCCACGGGGAGCCACTGTCCAGCTTTCCAGAAGAGGCTAAACTTTACTGATACACTAAACTGAAGGAGAGGGATGTAACCAGGAGCCTGCTCTATCTACAACTGCTTGGAGGCCTTTCATCTCACCAATGCCCACAGCCAGCTCCATCCAACCAGCTTGCTCACGTGAGTATGAGCCTCTTAAAGGACCGATATCCTTACGCTAGCCACCCACTACAGCCTTCTTCCCTTGCCAGTCTGCCCACTGCATCTCCCTCCACGCCCATCATCACACTTTCTGCACCCCAGTTGCCTCTCCTCTGCACCCCAGTTGCCTCTGCTTGTTGCTTTCCCTCACCCCCCATAGCTGCCGGAAGCAGAATGGGACCTTGAGTTTTTCTTCAGTGCAAAACTTGTCTGCTTGCCTCTCCCCGCACCTGAAGGGGGAATGCCCAGGCCCATCTCAACTCTATCCAGCAGGGCTCCATGGCCCTGGTGAGCACAAGGTGGAGGTGGCATCAGAGAGCTAGAATGCATCATAGAAAATGAGGGTTGAAAGGGACATCAGGAGGTCATCTAGTCCAACCCCCTGCTCAAAGCAGGACCATCCCCAGCTACAGCATTTCAGCCAAGGCTTTGTCTAGCCAGGCCTTCAAAACCTCCAAGGATGGAGACTCCACCATCTCTCTGGGTAACCTGTCCCGGTGCTTTACTACACTCCTAGTGAGAAAGTTTTTCCTAGTCTTTAACCTCAACTTCCCTTGCTGCAACTTGAGCCCATTGCTCCTTGTTCTGTCATCTGCCACCGCTGAGAACAGTCCAGCTCCGTCCTCTTTGCAACGCCCCTGCAGGTAGTTGAAGGCTGCTATCAAATCCCCCTCAGTCTTCTCTTCTGCAAACTAAATCGGCCCAGTTCCCTCAGCCTCTTCCCGTAAGTCATGTGCCCCAGTCCCCTAATCATTTTCATTGCCCTCCACTGAACTCTCTCCAGCTTGTCCACATCCTTTCTGTAGTGGGGGCCTAAAACTGGACACAGTACTCCAGGTGTGGCCTCAGCACTGCTGAATAGAAGGGAAGAGTCACATCCCTCGATCTGCTGGCAATGCTTCTATTAATGCAGCCCAGCATGCCGTTAGCCTTCTTGGCAACAAAGGCACACTGTTGACTCACATCTGGCTTACAGTAACCCCCAGGTCCTTTGCTGCAGTCAGCCCCCAGCCTGTGCTGGTGCAGGAGATTGTTCTGCCCAAAGTGCAGGACTTTGCACTTGTCCTTGTTGAGCCTCACAAGATTTCTTTTGAACTAGTCCTCCAATTTCTGTAGGTCTTTCTGAATCTTAGCCCTACTCTTCAGCATATCTACTACTTGAGAAGAGACATCGTGGGACCCCAGCATAGCCTGCGACATGGGGGCAGGTCCAGGCAAAATAACTGCGCTCAGGAAGACTGCAAGAGCGTATAAGAGCTGCTCGGGCTCTGGGCTGCTCATGCCCATCAGTAAAGCACCCTGCGCTGCCCACCTGGGACCTTGATGACATGGGAAGTAAACGCAGCGTGGGAGCTTCAAGGGGCAGTGGCGGGTACTTGGGGCAGATCCTATTTGCCTTCATGTGCTTATATGCCAACAACACAGCTTGTACCTGCTGCGTTTGGCACTTGCGTGTGGTTTGCGATCCAGGACGAGCGGGCTGCACACGCTCCAGTCGGGCAACTGCACAGGGAACAGAATTGCCCCAGCACAGCAGAAGGCAAGAGCCACGATTTTATTCAGCCGGGACTTGTTCGTGTTGGACAAGAGGAGGACGATGACAGCCCGCCCCCTTCTAGCCCAATCGCCTGGTGGTCAGAGCCCTAGCCAGGGAGCAGGGGACCCTGATTTCAGCCCCCAGCCAACCAAAGGGGGGTTGAACTTTTACCTTCTGCTCCCCAGCACAGAAGCTTTAACCAGGACTGGCAGCTTCTTATTAACCAGAGCCCCCTCCAGCCCTCCCCTAGGAGCTGAGTCACTGCACTTCGCATTTTAATAGTCTCTGGCTACAGCACTGGGAAAGTTTCTGCCCCACTCTGAACAAAGGCCGCTCCCCCGCTATCGTAGCTTTGTCTCAACAATCAGCACAGATTAGATTATTCCAATGCCACCCCCTGGAGGCCTGGGGACAGGCAGAGCCATGCTCCCAAGCCCCGTCACTGCACTGCTCTCTCCAGTACAGGCTCATCCTTTTCCAGGGGCATGTGGTTAGTTAAAGCAAAGTTCTGGGACCTAGGACTCCAGGGTACCACTCTCCAACTCTGTCTCTGATGGGTTGATGGGGCTTTATCTTGGCTGCAAAAGCAGCAAGCATTTAGCTGGCCATAGCCATCTCTAGGTATAAGCCTGGTGAAATGAGGCACTGGGCTGTTTTCCCCAATTCTGGCCAATCAAGACCTAGCCTTGTCACGGCTAGGATTTTTTGGGGGGGGTGGAGGAAGGGGGGACAAACGCATCCACTCAAGTGCTCTCCAGCACATTCACCTCACCTATCAAGGCGCCTCTGCCTCAGGGGTTTCTCCCCCTCCCAAAGGCTTCATGACATTAAAAAAAGGACCTGGTTGAGCAAACACAGCCTCTGTGTCCCTGAACACAAAGTCAACCCTGGCTGCCCTTCACCTTGTCCACTGGCGCAAGAGGATTGTGCCTCCAAAATACCCTGGGAAAGCGTGAGCGTAATTTAATCAGGATCCTGCGGAGAGCAGCATGAAGACATTGCAGTGAAGGATTCAGTGCCCAACTGCAACCTGATCCTCCCTCCCCAGCACACACTAATCCAGCTGAACTTCTCAGAGACAATGCCTTTCTTTGATGGCTGGTTTTCCTTGTCTCCCACTGAAACAAAGAGCAACAAATACATCCTGCCCTTCAGAAACCAGCAATCGACTTTAGAAATACCTGACATGAGGGGGACAGATCCCAGCCAGCCAGAGAAGCCATGGCAAGGAGAGCTGGGGGGTCTCTGCAGCCACCCAGGAGCTGACCTACCCATCACTCTCACTGGACTCACTCAGGGCCTTGCCCTCATAGTCAGGCCCTAACTGCAGCTGAGGAGACCAGCTCATGGTGCAAACATTGCTTTGCTGTCACTGAAGGCCAAGGGGACCTCTGCAATGCACTGCAAAAGGGGTGGGGGGCTCTTGTTAACAGCATCTAGAAAGCAAGTGGCCCTGGCCTCAAGGACACACACAACATGACCTTGAAGGAGGAGTGAATTAGGGCTGGAAGGAGATGGGCTCTGACACAGCATCTCCTCCAGCCCCTGGTATGTGCGCATACCCACATACACACCCGCACACCACGCATCCACCATCTTGAGGACTAACTACACCCCAGGGAATTATGCACAGAAAAACTCAAAATTATGCACAATTAATTACTATTTGAACCTTCTTTAGAAATATATGCAGGTACTTGGTATGGTTGGGGGGCTGTGGGTAGGGATTTGTGAAGGTGTTGAGGGGTGTGGGTGTATGTGGGGGGTGTGGATGGGTGTGGGGTGTGGGTAGGACAGTGAGACGGGGTGTGTGAACGTAGGATTTATAGGTGGTTGTTGCCCCCCCGCCCCCATTATACATCCCCGCTCCCATAGCGCACAGCCCCGCTGCCAGCGACTCAATGGCAGCAGGCCCTCGGGGTGCTCACGGCCATGGCTGGCAGAGCCCCTGGCAGCGCACACCTCTGGTTCAGTCCCATGCCTCCGTGTGCAGTTTCCCACTGGACTGCTGGAAGCCCCATGTGGAGGCATGGAGCCAGCTGGACCAGCCGCATGGCGTGTGGACTGGGAGCCATGCACCATCAAGCCAGGCAGGCTCAGTGCTGCCACGTGGGGCTTCCAGCACTCCAGCAGGAAGCCACATGTGGAGGCAAGCAGGAGCCCACCCAGCCTGATGGCGCATGGCTCTGTACCTCCGTGTGCAGCTTCCTGCCCAACCCAATGGTGCACATCTCCCAGTCCATGTGTCATCAGGCTGGGCCAGGCCTGCATGTGGGGCTTCCAGTACTCCAACAGGACACTGCGCATAGAGGCACAGTCATGTTGCCATCAGGCTAGGCGGGCTCCTGCTTGCCTCCACATGCGGC